CTGTTTCCAACTTTCAGAACTTAGGATATTTGGCAAAAAAGGAAAAATAATAATTTGAAGCTTTGAAATCATTGAATCTCAAGTTTCAAGGAGCAAAACACTGACATCATTGCTCATCAGGGTACATTTCAGCACTTACAGCCAAAACCCAGCTAGAGACACAGCACACTGGCACTAAGAATGTCTTCATCTGCTTGACTTAATGAAGCTCTTTAAGACAAGGCTCTGGAAAACAATTTCATGGAGGAAAAAGTCAAATTGCATTTCGCCTGTTAGGAGGAAACAAACCTCGGAGTCCTCCCCGGCCTTACGATTGCAGATTCTCTCTCAGAGCTTGTGAGGAACCAACCCTCTACTTACTGTTGTTCTGTCTTTGCCAGAAGATCTCCGAGGCCTTTGCTGGAAAGCTGGGTTGCTTCGGATGCCAAAGACAACTTCCAGAAAATCCCTTTGGAGGCTTTTGGGAGGAACCATTCCCTGTTTTCCCCCACAGTGAGCAGCCCTTCTGTGGCATCCCTGTTGCTTCCTCCCAGCGAGGCTGGCTCCAACTTCTGGGACGTAGGACAATGGCTCAGCCTGGACCCTGGGCACAGCACAGGGACTGCCTCTCCAACACGACTTCCCCTCTTTGAGGCCTGGCATTTATTATTCCGTGTGTCTTCATTGGTGATGAATGTACAGAGTTGGAGAGCAAAGTTTGGTTCAAGCCATTTGGGGTCGAAGAAGGGTCCATAGAAATGGGCACAGGATGTTGAGAGCATTTCCCCTCCAGTATCCCTGGAATTGTAGTGGCCAGGGACTTGCATAATTAGCCTTTATTTGTGGCTAATTATCAAAGAACTAAAGGTCCAGTGCACCGTGGGTTCCCTCGGCTTGGCCTGTGTGGATTGGGCCAAAACCGGCTCTCCAACAGCCCCCAAAGGGTCCCAGATAATTCATGCACTGGAGGGGGGGGGTCCCTCAGCCCGGACTGCCCCCTCTCACAGTCTGGGAGCCCTCAGGGGCGGGAGGCGACCTGGTGATCAGGGGAAGGTGACGCCCCATTACACCTCCGATGCTGCCACTGCCAGCAGCACAAGCCTCAGCCGGCTCTGGTTACCTGAGCCTCAGGCAGCCCTGGGCAGCTGGGCAGCTACTATCCGAGGCTTGCCTGCGCCTTGGGCTGACCCTGGGCAGCTGGAGGGCTGAGGGGACTGACGGCCTCCTGAGGCAGGCGCGCAGCAAAGCCTGCTGCCCCAGCAGGGCTGAGGGGACAGGGCGCCGCCATCTTGTGGCTGCGGGCACCATCATCTTTGAGGTGGGGCAGTCAATTAGCATATTCCCTCCTTATTGGCTGTGGGCACCACCATCTTTGAGGGCGGGGCAGTCAATTAGCATATTTGCTCCTTATTGGCTGTAGGCACCACCATCTTTGCAACGGTGTGAGGGTCAATTAGCGTATTCCCTCTTTATTAGGTAGAATAATAGGGGGTCCAGTGCATGAATTCGTGCACCTTGAAAGGAACTGTGGGCCGCGAGGCTGTGATGGACACAGGGGGGGGTCTCGGCCCATCCTCTGCACCCCCACCCAACCCTCCCGCTGCAGCCCCCCATCCTCGTGTCTGCCGGCAGCCCGGCTCCCACTGCCACCGCTCTCATGCACTGATGGCACTGGCCCCACTCACACCCGCTGATGGCATGGAGCGATTGGGGCTGGCGCCAGCAGCGGGTGTGAGCAGCGGTTGCTGCCCCAATCACCTCTCAGGAGCAGGGGGAGGTGGAGAAGCCCTCAGGGGCGATCAGGGTCTGCAGCCCCCGCTCACACCCGCTGATGGCGCCGAGTGATTGGGACTGGTGCCGGGCACCAGGTACAAGCAGGGCCAGCGCTGGCAGTGGGTGCAAGCTGGTCTGGCACCGGCAGCAGGTGCAAGTGCTGGGCAGGACCATGGCACGCGGAAGCAAAGAATTTTCAATAACCACCAGAGGCTTGCCTCGATGACAGTGACCGGCATCCTGCCTTGGTCTGGTGCCCCTGCTCACCTGCTCCCCCATCCCATTGCAGCCAACACCCGCCATGTTCCGCACACGCCCCCTCATGGTCAACACACATCATAGCGACAGGTTGTTCGTTTGTTCCGTTGTTCGGTCTATTTGCATATTAGCCTTTTATTATATAGGATAGATAATCAAAGAATTGAAATGTACTTCCCATAAACATGTCAAATGGGCTTTCTGGGGAGGAGCAGGGGAGGCAATGAGGCCCCGTGGGAAACCTGCCTGAGCTTCCCTGTCGCCCTGGGTGAACTCGGACCCACCTCAGGCTGAAGGCAGGACGGTGTCAGAGGAAGCCCTGGTTTGCTGGCTGCTCCTCCCATAGACCACTCGGAACAGCACGGTGTTCAGAAAATTTACCACCTTTATCATTATCAGCTCATCTTACCTGTGATACCACGACCTGCACTGGGAAGGAGTTGGAGGAATTACTTTATACCGAGCGACTCCCTGGGACAGGGCTTGGTGCATGCATTTTGGGATCTTACTTAAGCCTTCCGTCCTCCTTGTAAGGTTAGCATTTCTGCTCCTATTTCACAGAAGGGAACACTGACACTGGGAGCATTTAAGTAACCCCTGCAAAGAACCCACTCACAGTTCCCATTTGTCGTGCATTTTGTGGGCTCCCAGAGATTCTTGGGTTCCTGCCCAAAATGTTCCCCAAGACCTTGTGCCCGAGGGCTCCTGTACCTCTCACTCACCTCGCATCTAATCACGCTGCACCACTGTGGGAACACGGCTTACGCTTTTAGGGTCTCAGTGTCCTCATCCGTAATGAGGTCACCAATTGCCACCTGCCTGGGCCATGATGACCTAAGACATCTTCAGCGTGAACTGCCTGGCTGGGCGCAGACACACAGCCAGCGCCACACAACGCGCCACACTGCCCACTGCCAGGCTCGATGCCCCTCTCCCACCCCTGCCCCAAGGGTGGATGTCGGCTGAGAAAACACAATTGCTGTTGGCTGCTTATTCTTTTTCATTCTCGGCAGAACTGATTTGATTTGACCAAACAGGGAGACCGGTTTCAAAAGCCTGGGTCACAGCTCATAATTGGCCAGCTCAGCGACAGTGTAACCCTCATTGACCTGTGGCTTCACGTCCCCACACACTCGCCCTGGCCTTTGATTGTGGTCCCGGGCAGTGTCATTCCGCGAGTCCCATTTGCTGCCTGGATGGGAGAGGAGCAGGCGCCCAGGAGTTTAACCCCGAGGTGATTAAGAGGGAAAAAGGGAGCTGTGTTTGTGAAGGCCCAAGGTACATCAAAAGGCCCTGGGCACAGGCGATGCTGAAGGCAGCATGGGAACCGCGGGGTGTGCTTCGCCTCTTCCTTTCATCCTCAAGTTTTCTGAGTCACGCCGACTTCCTGGGACAGTTTGGAAGCTCAGTGGGGCGTGGACAGGGAGAAGAAAAACTTGAAGGATGAAAAAGGAGGAGTGTTTTTCTGGCAGGCGGCTGAGAGAGGGTAATTGCTGGAGACGTGGTGGTTGCTGGGGAGTCCTGAGGCAGCCGTGGTGGAGCTGCGTCCAGGATTTCAGGGGCGTGGGCGCAGAGGAGCGGCACCGTTCCCTGTGCCTTGTGTTGCTGGGGCTCCTGGGTGGTAGGCATGCACTGAGCCTACTGTGCGAAGGGTGTTTTGCTAAGTATCCTCGGGAGATGGGGTTTTACATTAATAATGTGTTTTTTAAATTTTTTTTATTGTTTTTTGTTCGTTTGTTTTTTTAGAGATAGAGGTAGGGAGAGGGAGAGGGAGATAGAAACATCGACATCCATGAGAGAGAAACAGTGATTGGCTGCCTCCTGCAAGCCCCCTATTGGGGATCAAGCCCCCACAACCTGAGCATGGGCCCTGACTGGGAATCGAACTGGTGACCTCTTGGTTCATGGGTCAATGCTCAACCACGGAGCCACACCGGCCGGGCGTAATGTTACTTTTAATTCGTGGCTTTCTAGCCTATTATGAAACTGCACTTAAGTGGAGAGTGTACAGGCTCGGGCATCAGGAAGACCTGGTTATGCATTCTGACATCACTGCGCCCCGGTTGTGTGGCTTTGAAAGCCTTACTTATCGTCTCTGTGTATGATTGTTAAATGGAGTGTTGCTGGCACTCCGTGGAATGGTAACTGCTTTTCTGGGAAAACTTTGAGATTGATTACAGTCCTACTTTCTGCTTCCTTGCTGACCTTAATTATTTTACTCTTGGCACGCACTCATGCATCCACCTTCCAGCATTTATTGGATATTATGGTAATGTTACCACAAAGATAAATAGTATAGTAAGGCCCAGTCTTTGTCCTTACTGAATTCCTAATCTTCACAGAAAATATTTGATGAAATAATTTACCAAATACAATATGACAGGTATATTTTTATAGTGCTTATGTACAAAATACTTTTGGGACATGTTGAAGGATATTTTGCCTGCAGTTTGAAAGTTTCCCCTGGGAAGTGATGCTTCTGAAATAGGGTTTTGAAGGATGAATAGGAGTTTACCCAGGAAGAACTAAATAAACTTAATCATTATTAATATTTCTTCTCTCCCCCCTTCCTTTTTTGCCTACTTCCACGTCCTTCTACTCCTCACCTCCCTTTTTCTTCCTATTCTCCTCCTTCTCCACTCTTCCTCCTCCTTCATAGTCATAATGCTTTATTGATAACAAGAGTGTCTAGCTAGTAACGTGTCAAGTCAGGAAAAGAAGACAGTGCATTTAATTAGGAAAAATTATATTATGATTGTCTTCTTGAAACAGCATGTTAGTTTTTATCACCGTAATAAGTCATTCTGTTCTCAACTTTGTTCCCAGCTCCGTCTGGATGCATTTATTTGTAACCCACTTTCCATCTGTTTTCTCTTGTAAATGGGATTGTGAGAACTTCACGATGTAGTAATGCATGTTTGGGGTACGTGGAGGGGCTGGGGTGTGATTCACTCTGGGTTAACTCTTCCCTGGTCTTTCTGCACCCACAGATGGGAAGCCCGTGTCGCTGTCTCCGCTGGAGTCCCAGCCGCACAGTCCCCGGTACTCGGCCCCTGGCCAGCGGGAGCGGGAGAGCCTGGAAGTGCGGGTGCGTGAGGTGGAGGAGGAGAACCGAGCCCTCCGCAGGCAGCTCAGCCTGGCCCAGGGCAGGGCCCCAGCCCATCGCCGTGGCAACCACTCCAAGACCTACTCCATGGAAGAGGGTACTGGGGACAGCGAGAACCTTCGAGCTGGCATCGTGGCGGGCAACAGCTCCGAGTGTGGGCAGCAGCCAGTCGTGGAGAAGTGTGAGGTAAAGAGCACCTAGAACCATCCAAGGCCCAACTGCCCCCACCCCTTGCAAATGCTGGCCTAGAAGCACCACCAGACGCCTGGACAGGGCTGGCGCTCTTGACTCAGACCTGGGTGTGAATCTGACATGGCCACTAACTCTGCTGTTGGCTTGACAAACCGTTAGCTTTTGAGCCTCAGTTTTGCCGCCTGAAAAATGGGGATAAGAAAGCCTACACTACAATTATCAAAAGGCAAACTGATGGAAGCTAGCTCCCCTTTCTTTACAGTTCATTTGGACCTGCTCAAGGTTTATACACCTGGTTGTCACCCGGGGACCCCTGTTACTTAGACCAGTGGTCGCCAACCTTTCGGACCTCACGGACCACCGATTCTTAACCACTGACTTAGACTACAGTGTGAGTGGTATACCTGGGTGGTGGCCCTGTTGGGCAGCTCCCTCGGGTCTCATTCTCACTTTAGGAACAGCTTCTACAATTCAGAACCAGAGACTTACTGCTCATCGAAGGCAGTGGTTTGAACTTTCATAGCTTCATATCACTTTGCCCCTTTTAGGGTATGCTTTATTTCTTAGTAACTCTCTAGACATTTGGAAAACTTACCCTCTTCCTATCACCCTCACCCCCCTCATTCATACAACCATGCTTACTGGGTACTGAATACACAAACACGCGTTCACTCTCGTTCACTCATTTCCTGCTGCTTCTAGTTCCCAATGGACAGGAATTAGAGCTTCCCTGTTAAGAGCAAGAGCTTTAAGACACACAGAAGCCCGAGTTCATATCCCAGCTCTGCTGGTTTCTGCTGAGAGTACTTGAGCAAGTGACCTAACCTCTCTGAACTTCAGATGTCCCCTCACTAAATCTGAAAAGTAATACCTGCCTGTACTACATATATGTAGAGAAATTTCGATGAAAGAGCAAAATGACAAAAATAGAGGCAAACCAAGTTTAAGTCATATTTTTAATTTAAATTCTTTAATGTTTAAAGTTCTGTGTACGTCTCCAGACACAGAGTCATTGTTCCTTGGGGGTAGGTCCCAAAAATCTGAGTATTAAAAGAATCTACTCCGATGATTCTGAGATTGTGGACACTGTTTGGAAGTCACTGCTTGAAGGCACACATGCATGATGTGATTCTCTATCCCTGGGCTCTTTGAAAGGTGATGTAGGAATCTAGGAATTGGACCTTGAGGTTGCTGATTGTTACTATAACTTATTTTTTAGTTTTTTGACTTGCACCTGAGAATTAGATTATATCTGTTTTCCTCTTTCTTTGTGTTAATCAGTAATATTACTTCTTACACACTTAAAAAGTGATTTTTGGTAAATTTATCTGTGATGAGCCCCCCTGGTCCTGTTCAGATTTTCCATAGATGAATTTGAAAGTCTTGATCTCCTGGCATCTTATTCCAAAGTAATCTCCTCTGGGTACACATTTACCTTGAGATGCTGGCTTCATACCCATCAGCAGTATATGTCCTCTGTCTCCGTGGCTTGGTGTCTATAAATTTTAGTGAAAAAGCCATAGAGGCAAACAAGAATGTCAGTCAGTGGAGTCAAAATAGAAGCCTCCACTGGGAATTGAGCCCGAAACCCAGTCATGTGCCCTTGGCCAGAATCGAACCCGGGACCCTTCACTCCACAGGCCGACGCTCTATCCACTGAGCCAAACTGGCTAGGGCTGAAGCTAGTCTTGACACGCTGTCAGATGCAGGCCCCTGTAACCAGGGACGTCACCCTCATCTCCTGTTGGTCTGAAACTTCTTTAGAGAATGACAAGTGTTTCTGAAAAGTCCTCTGTAATGATGCCCAGGCTGTCAGCTGAGATTATCTGATGATAGAAACAGGGGCCCTCACCGGCCCTGTGACTCTCATCATTTCCTAATCATGTGGTTTGCAGCTAGCTGCCCGTGTAATCCCTGCATTTCTGCTGTCAGGGAAGGGCTGCCCCCGAGAGGGGCTAGTTCTTTGTGCCTTGAGACTTGGAGCAGAATGATTCTCTTTGATCTTCCCTTGTGCCTATGTGTGTACAGATATGTATATTTTTCTTGCATTTCTGGTCTCCTTCGGGCATCAGCTATGGAGCAGCAGAACAATCACTGGACCTGGAGTCAGAGTTCCTGACCAGGAATCTTTGCTTTGACACTCACTAGTCATGTGACTTTGAACAATCCGGGTGCTCCGTAGAGTCTGCTTCATCACTATAAAATGAGAATATGTTTTCCAAGTGCAATTGTGAGGACGAAATGAGGTAGCGGGTGGGAAACTAACTCCTTATGAGTGTCATATGTACTTATGGCAGATATTGATATTCCAGTTTCCTAGCAAATCCCCTAAAATGTAGTGGCTTCAGACACCTGTGGTTTTATTACCTCTTGTAGTTTGTGTGGATCCAGGGCTTGGGAATTTTGCTTAGCTGAGTGGTTCTGGTTGGGGGCCCTTATATTAATGTCCTTATTTTGTGGCTGGAGCTGGAATAGTGCAGGCCTGGAGCAGTGGGGGCTGGCTGGCCTGGCATCGCTGCTTTTTCCTGTTGGAGACTCTGGCCTCTCCCTGTGGTCTTTCTGCAGGGGCTAGTTGGGCTTCCTCACAACATGGCAGCTACAGGGCAGTTGGCTGCTTTCCTGGCAGCTGAAGTACAAGTACTCCAGCGAGCAAGCCAGAGCGAGGCACTTTATGACCTGGCTCAGAAGTCACATAGTGTCTGCTCTGCTGGTCGTGTTGAAACATGCCCAAAAGCCCACCCAGTTTCCAGGGGGTAGAAACACACACCCCATCTCTCAATGGGAGGGATGTCTAAACATATGTGGATATACTTTCAGCAGCAACAATTGACGTGGTCGTTATGGAAGGTCAGGCGAATGGTACTGTCTGATGTCAGACCATCTTTAAGGAGGGATCTCTCTTTCCTGTTCTCTGTGCTTTGAACTTTATTTCTTGGTAGCAGTGTTCTAGTAATACACACTAACGTTTACCAGACACTGCTAAATGTTACCAGACACGACACTTGCATAACATCTCTCATTTCGTCCCCACAACATACTTCCTAACTTTTAAAGATTAGAAAGCTAAAGGTGAAATAATTATTTCAAGTCACACTGCCAGGAAGAGGTGGAGCTGGCATTATATCTAAGCTGTGTGCTTCCAGAATCCGTGCTGTGAACCACAGTATTAAATGCTCTGTGCCTGATCGCTCCTGGGACCCACCCTTACCTCAGCCTCAGAGCCCCGGTTCTTGTTCTGGCAGGTGCCTCGTCTCAGAAGGCTTCCTTCCGGGTGACCAGTTAACGATATGGGGGTCCGCTTTCACATTGGGGGTCGTAGCCACCTCACGAGGGTTCTCATTTCTCAGTGGGTCTAAGCAAGGATGTGTCTGTTCCTTTGAAAGAAGTTGCGTGGTTTTAAATTGCCTTCCAGATTGTGGCTGCATTTGTTAGCTACCATTTGGCTTTAGGCATTAACGCTTATAACACTTGTCACCTCTCACCTGTGTTTACTGGGCCCCTAACCAACCCACAGTATTTTGAGCTGTTTGATCTATTTCCTATTTTTACTCTGCCTTCCAGGATTTTTATATAATACTAGAGGCCCGGTGCACAAAAATTTGTGCACGTGGGGGGAGGGGGGTCCCCCAGCCCGGCCTGTGCCCTCTCGTAGTCTGGGACCCCTCGGGAGATAACAACCTGCTGGCTTACTGCCGGTTTATGCCCAATCCCGGGGAGTGGGACGGTTTCGGACCTAAACTGGAAGTTGGACATCCCTCTCACAATCCGAGACCGCTGGCTCCTAACTGCTCACCTGCCTGCCTGCCTGATCGACCCTAACTGCCCCCCCCACCAGCCTGATCACCCCTAACCTCCTCTGCCTGCCAGCCTGATCACCCCTAACTGCTACCCCTGCCGGCTTGGTTGCCCCTAACTGCCCTCCCCCGCCAGCTGGTTACCCCTTACTGCCCCCCCTTCCCCGCCAGCCTTGTCACCCCATGCAGCCTGCTGTTCAGGTGTTTGGTCGTCCCTCACTAACCCTCCTGCCGGCCTTGTCACCCCACACAGCCTGCTGTTTGGTCGTTACTGTGAGGCCGTCCTGACCAATTTGCATATTACCCTTTTATTAGTATAGATCCCAGCAGTGGAGGGGGGTGTGCCTCCAATCTTCCCATGTACCATGTGACTATTGGAAGACACTGGCATAGCTTGTGGACTCGCATTTCATTCGCTTCATGCGTCACCTCTGGGGCTCCTTCGAGGATGTAGATCCACTAAAATATCTTCCCTAAATGTCAGCCCTGGCATTAGGGACTGTTGTAGATGGAGGAGCCTCGTAAGATTTCTTAGGTGGCAATTTTCAGGGAGTCCTGGCTCCCGTCACCTCTGAGGTGCCTTCCCTGAGTCTAATAGTTATTTATTGCTTCATAGCGTGTTATCTCCAACACCTAACGGCTTAAACAATAAGCATTTATTATGTCGTGCAGCTTCTGAAAATGAGCAATCTGGGAGCAGTGTACAGGGTTGGGACTTGAGATCTCACAGGAGGTGGCAGTGAAGACACCCGCTGGGGCCGCGGTCACCTGTGGGCTTGCTTGGGGCTGGAGGCTGCGCTTCCAAGGATGGCACACAGGCCTGGCTGGGGCCGCAGTTCTGTGGGACTCCTCGAGGGTCCTCCACTGAACTGCCTGAGTGTTCTCTCAACACGGCAGCTGGTTTTCCTGGTAAGCGATTCCGCAGAGCAAGGCAGGAGCCACAGTCTCTTTGCTGACCTAGCCATGGGCGGTATGTACCTCTGCTCCTGCCCAGTTCTGCTGGCCCCACCCATCAGCCCTGAGAGTGCAGGAGAGTTCCCACAGGCCGTGGGTACCAGCTGGCCAGGAGCCGTGAGGACAGCCTTGGAGGCTGGCTGGCACACCATGGCCGTAGCAAGGGCCCGTCTCCAGCAGCCTCCTGTCTGAGCCTCCTGAACAGGCCTGCCTTGATCTGCTCCAGATAGTGCGTTCTCTTAGAAA